TACAGAAAAATTGTACAGTAAGTTCTCTCCCTATCCTCTCTCACAGAGAGTATCTCCTATTATTAAAATCTTGCTCAACTGTAGTAATTTGTTACAATTGATGAGCCCATATTCACACATTGTTATTAACTAAGGCCCATAATTAGGTCCATTAGAGTTCACTATTTGTAATGTATAGTTTACAGGATTAACAAAAGTGTGTGTTCTTTTAAAATAAAACAATTGTTCATTTGAGCTAGAAAAGACACTGAGTGATCTATTTCAAGCTCTTCATCTTTCTGCTAACGAAAATGAGGATCAGAGAGATTTAGGACTTTTACGAACATCAAACAGCTGGAAAGTGTCTGTATCAAAACCTTTAATGCAGGTCTTCAAAATTCCATTCTCACATACTTTCTTCTCCTTTCCTTTCAGTTTGATTATTTTGAAAATAAAATGTCAGCTATGTGAAACTTGTATAATCTGTATAACACAAACCACCCCTCCTTATTTAACCTGGAGAGCAGGAGAGTGACTGAGAAGAGTCTTCTGGAGGTATGAAGGGAATATCAGCACGCCCATCTCTACCTCATCAGTCTCTTTCTTCTCTCCATAAGACATGGTCTACTTGTAGCCTCCGTGTCGATTCCTCTGGATGAAAATTGGTTGAGGTCCCACTAACTAATTGGTTTATCAGGCTTTGCTTTGTCTCATTATTAAGGGAGCTGCAAAATTCGGTACTTGAGCTACATAAGACAACAAACAAGGATTTGATGAGGACAAGTAGCTAGGAGTAAAGAGCATACATTTGATTAAAGCGTCGCCTGTGCTGTCTATGTTCATAAACTAATAAGGGGACAGACTTGTGGGTCCAGCAGAAAAGGAATTCCTGAGGATGTTAAAGAAAATCTAAGTATGTAAAGAAGCAAATCCTGGATTTTTTTTCAAAATCAGAGATAGCATAAACAACATTTCATACCTTTTTTCTTTGCATTTGACATTTCCCAAACCGGAGAGAAGGAGTAAAAGTTAAATGATTTCATATATAGCTTTCCTTGGTAGTAGTTAATTCAAAGAAAAATGGTGCAATATGATTAGAACTTGTAAGGAAATTATTACTCAGTGAGCCCTCGAAACTTATTCCCAAACTGAGAACAAATCGAGAATTGTTCGCAGTTAGGTAAAACATGATTTGTAACTCAACAACATTTAAGTTTTTTTTGCCAAGATCTAAAATGATTTGTGTTCGCAACTCACATCCTAAATATGTTCCTTGGTAACTCATAAAACCTCCTGAACTATTTCAATATATAAATTAATGTCTCATTTTCAGATGATATGATATAACCCTTGTAATGTTGTTTTCTGTTTAAGTGAACAAAGAATATGTTCTTTTTATCACAATGGAAATTTTAAATTAGGTTAAACATATATCAGAACAATTAAATTGCTATTAATCAACATTTGTATTAGTTTTATCAAAATTTTTTTCATTGCATGAATGTATCACTTTAACTGACACAATTTGAACTACTCATTCTCCTCTAAGTTTTTTAGAGTTTGGTTCAAAATCACAAATTCAGAATTAAGATGACAGTTATTTGCATTCCTGGTTATCCAATATTTTCTATCAATAAAACTATAAAAACCAAAAGCAGGTGAACCTTTTTTTTTTTTTTTAAAGATTTTTTTCTTTTTTCCTTTTTCTCCCCAAAGCCCCCCGGTACATAGTTGTATATTCTTCGTTGTGGGTCCTTCTAGTTGTGGCATCTGGGATGCTGCCTCAGCGTGGTTTGATGAGCAGTGCCATGTCCGTGCCCAGAATTCGAACCAAGGAAACACTGGGCAGCCTGCAGTGGAGTGCACGAACTTAACAACTCGGCCACGGGGCCAGGCCCCGAGGTGAACCTTTTTTTTTAGGACTCATAAGTCTCAAGCCTGAAACCAGAAATGATCTCGTAGAAGGAAAACTCTGGAATGATTTAGGCATCCATCCTGCTTTGCTTGGTAATGAGCTATCCTATTTTTAAAGCATTATTAGATGGAAATTTCAATTATACTAATACATTCCCATTTCCAGCAATCTTGGTTGCAGAATCAGGATGCTATCTTTTCCGCTACAGTTAAATCTTGTTTCCCTTTATTCCTCATGAGTATAGATAGATCACCATTGTTATATGTATATTTTTTTCTCCCCAAATTCCCCCAGCACATAGTTGTATATTTTAGTTATGGGTCCTTCTAGTTGTGGCATCTGGGATGCCGCCTCAACATGGCCTGACAAGCAGTGCCATGTCTGCACCCAGGATCTGAACCAGCGAAACCCTGGGCCAGGAAACCCTGGGCCGCCGAAGCAGACAGCACGAACTTAACCACTCGGCCCTGGGGCCGGTCCCCTCACTGTTATATTTTGAAGGCCATTGTAAATCAACATTCTTTTATATTGCCCTTTCCTAATAATTTGTGTGTATACTCTCTTAACTATCAAACTCTAAAGAAATGATGCTCAATAGCAATAAGTTTAGAGACAAAGTTATTTGCATATTCTTTCTCATCACACAAAGGACTCAGTCTCAGTGCATTTCACACAGATGACACTCAGAAGATTTTGACATGTGATCAGTTTACCTGTTAAGCAAAAGAAAATATGGATAGCTATACAGAGCTATGACAATCAGCTTAACGTGTCTAGGGTTCAATGGTAAGGTAAAGAAAGTAGAGTTAATCTTCAAATCGGCAGTGGCAATAGATCTAGCTTTCATTGAAAAATAAGTTGGTACATTAGGGACTTTTGGTCCCTTGGGAGCACAACTTATGGACTACAAAACACATCCACACCAAAAATAAAAAGAGACACCTGCTAAATGAGCAGGAACCCTCTGTTTTCAAAAGGCCCTGCCACCAGAGTCAGGGTTGCCCACATAGATTTCTAGCTGGAAGTGGTGAAGGGAGCTTGGGATGTGAAGCAGCAGCATCATTAGTTATCTCTCTGCATGGGAAACTCCCAGAGACCAGCAGGGATCTCAACAAGACACTGTCCAACATTGACATAGCAATGGCCACTGGAGGTAAATAGGGGAAGAGTGCTAGCATGTGAAGCAATATTATCTGTAGGCATAAATTAATATATAATTTTTCTTAATTGTCAGATCTCTCCTAGGAGTTCCATATACATTACTCTCATTCAATCCTTATAAAAGTTATTACTAGTTCATTTTTACAAATGAATAAGAGAGAGACAGAAAAGATAAGTTAATTTGCCTGAAATTACAATGTTAGTACGTGGTTGAGCCAGGGTTTGTATACAATTGTTTCTGAGCATTAAAGCCCGCTATACTCAGAGCCTTGCTATCTTCCTACCATGTCACATGCAAAGCAATGCTCTTTCTAGTCTTTCTTAATGAAGAAACTTTGGGGGCTTCTCGTCATTAGCAATATTCTAGGAAGAAGAGTTCCTAGACCAGTGTGAGTGAAGCACAGAATTGACTTGTATGCTCAGACTGGTAACATGATAAACATAGAGGCAAACACTTTGATGATCTAATTCTAGGCATTTGGCTAAAGAATTCCATCAACAATTCTACTCAGTGGTTAGAGCAGACAACATGGGTTTCCCCTTCCACCTAGATCAAACGTCATAACTCCAACACAGAAGTAACAGCTATACTGTTGAAGCCTTCGTAAGAATGAAGCTGATCAGGGGCCGAATGCAGAATTTCTAACAATGTCAACAAATAGTGTAGGTGAATAAAAGAAAAGTTCCATGCACAAACAACATGTTGGTACACTTCTCCAATTTGCTTCTGAATTTGGAACTCTGTGAATCATTGACTTAGAGTAAGGAATGTGGTGTATCAGCATGCTATTTTAAGGCTATCTACATCATTTGAGATTCTTATGCCTTTCTGTGCCTATGTAAGCCCATTCTTAAACATTTAATTGATATCTCAGTCCCATTAAGGTGTAAATCTGTCAGCTAAGGTAATTAGCAGTGAGAACCAAAGCATCTAATCACTTTTGGAAAATAAAAGATTGGAACTAAATAAGATTAGTACCTGTATTTCAAAGCTGATAAGCCTAAGCCTCTCAAAAAAATAAAAGTTTTTTTGTGAAGGACCACATATAATTTGCACTACAATCCTAAATTCCCTTTCTTTGAAACAGAATGAACACCATTAAGAAGTGGCATTATTACCACATTCTGATCTTTCATACCACACTAATCTGTTTAATCAAAGCTGCATCATAGTTTGTCTAAGCATGCTGCCTGCCTCTGAAGAGCAAATTGCAAATACAATTCCATCTAACAGCATGTGGTTTTAAAAGAGAATACTCTTGTTTTCACTCCCTGCATGATGAGTTAAAAATCATTTTGTGCTTTTGAAAAATGACTAAAGTTAAAATATCTTTGCTTACACAGCTCTATTTAAAATGTACATGTGAATCTGCAGAACACGTGCTTTGTACCGTGTGTTCTGTCATTTGTCTAAAAACCTGTTCTAAAGTCGTACTTTGTGCATATTTGTAGTAAAAGTGAGACTTGAAATACTTCTATTTTACATGATCTTCACCACAGTGTGGCAATAGGATGGGCCAAGTAAGACTTTTGAGACAACAAAGACAAATAATGAATACTAACAAAACTTGGTTAGCTATTCCAACTGCTCACAATTGAGAACCCTCTCTAATATCACTACTTGTGGAACTGTGGCTTTTCACAGACACTTGAGGTTGCCTCTTTGAGACTTGAAATATGTAAATATATCAGAACACTGTTCTCCAAATAGCTTTTAACAGAGGAGCAATGTATTCAAAACCAGATAAACTAGAATCCTCACTGATCCACTACTAGTAGGAAAAAAAAAAAAATCAATTAAGAGATCATTTGAAAATCTAATAGCACACTGGACCAATGTCATATCTTCCTAATAAATAAAATGAAGAGTTTTTAGCAATGCATTAAAACCTCATTTGCACATGGGGAAAATCATGATATTAGGAAAATGTTAAAGAAAACTTACCACTTCTTCATGTCTGCATTTTCTCACATTAATTCCATTTATCTGAAACAAAAAGAAGAGCATAGTTTCGTGTGGTATATTGTGAACTGACTTTATGTTTTGGTTGCAAACAGAAAATAGTGGTAAAATGCATACCTGTAGAATTGCATCCCCAATAAAGAGTAACCCTGAAAGTTCCGCTGTGAATGGAAAAGGACAGGTGATTATGCATTGACTATTTTCTTCATACAAAGTTTTTTTAATTAATAAAGTCAAAAATGATAAAAGGAAAATGTTAAAGATTTCATATGAATAGCACCTTAAAAGATCCACAGGAATACAAATGCAAAAACTATTATATGATTCAGCCTAAATATTGAAACACGTGCTGAAATATTTCTATTTAATTATACTGTCTCAAGTCTTACAGTTGCCAAATAGTAGTCACTTTTCTGGATGGATGACTAAATTTTCTCATTACTTATAATTTTAATATATCTATGAAAAAGTTTAGCTCTAGACATTGCACCCATCAGCTATGGAATCATCTCCAAATTTCTTTTTAACATTTCATTGTCTGACTGATTTCAGTCATTGAAATAGTTATTTTACATCTTCAGTGTTTTTCCCAATGAAATTTCATATGAAAGTCTGAGTTAAATTGCACTTGAGAAGTGAAAAATATATATATCTGGAATTGCCTATATTTCATGTGACTTATCATTAGTTTTGTTTGTACATTTGTTTGTTTAATGAAAATAGTGAAAAGTTATGCTGTCTCTAATTTATACAAGTTGCATGCTCTGTTGTTGTTCATCCTTGCTCTCCTGTGAGAGAAGCCCTCACCTGGAGTAACAAAGGGTATAGACTCAGGAATCAGACTCAACCACCTACTGCCAGGCCATGAGGAACCAAGAGCTAGTCAATCACATACTAGTGCATGATTATTAAATATCATCTTATTCTTCAATAACAATGGCTTACAAAGGAATGGCTACTACATAACTCTCTTAATACCTTACCTCTTTGTTCCTTGGAGATTTTTGAAATAACAACTGGAATGTTATGTTCTGCTCCCCCCTGAAAGAAGAAAATCATATTTTGTGCTTTTTAATATCAAAAAATAAAAATGCAGCTTTTAGGTAGGAAACCATACAGGGTATGAATAGTATGTTAATAGATGCCAGATAGAATTTAGATAAATTTGTGGAATTTCTTTACCAAGTAGATAATGTTCCCAAGGAACTTATCTACCTGTTTAGAACTTCCTCCAAGAATTAATATAGTTGACTTTGAAAGTTTTCATTTTTCAAATACAGATTGGTAATGCCTTAAATAAGCATTGTCTTCTATGTGTAGCAGTGCTGTCCATTGTAGAAATTCTTATTTAGGATTCCAAATATCCAATAATTATGCATTTTTATTATCTGGCTAAGTTGTTCTGTGCTGGTGACCAAGCACGGACCTCTTTGGATGCGAACTGACTAGAGAGATCTTCACCTGCACAAATGGATACAAAAAATTGGAGTGTGGATATGCTTGATGGGGGAAGGGTCAACTGCATTTCCTTAATTAGTATGAGATTCCTCTTCGTGTGAAAGCACATACTAAGCAATTAACAGAATAAAATAAACTGGCAAAAATATTGCAGTAACATGATGTCTAACTGACCAAATGAGAATGAAAAAAGAAAAGAAAAGAAGTAAGCTAAACTTATGTAGAAGGAAATAAGATAAATCCCTGAAATAACTTCATAAACATTCTATATCTATATTACAGATTTGAGAAAGTTGAAAGTAATAGTTGAAAAATCAAGTGCAGTAAAGATAATCAAATCCTGTATTAATTTCTTCATTAAATAAATCAAATAAGTGCATAAAATGTTACTTAAAAAAGATGGGTAGCACTTTTAACATAGGATAGTTGGCAAGATAATCTAAATTTCACTGGGGTTTCTCTATCTTCAAAATAAGTATATCTCCTAAGCCTTTTGTTTTTTCAAAGACAAAAATTATTTTATTTATTTTATTTTTTAAATTTCTGTTTTTTATTTTATTTATTTATTTTTTTGAGCAAGATTAGCCCTGAGCTAACATTTGCTGCCAATCTTCCTCTTTTTGTTGAGGAAGACTGGCCCTGAGCTAACATCTGTGCCCATCTTCCTCCACTTTATATGTGGGATGCCTACCACAGCATGGCTTGCCGAGTGCTGCCATGTCTGCACCCAGGATCTGAAGCAGCAAGCCCCGGGCCGCCGAAGTAGAACATGCGAACTTAACCACTGTGCCACCAGGCTGGCCCCACAAAAATTATTTTAGAATAGATGTTTTTCCATGAATGTCCCTTTTTAACTCAGAATTGTCAATACACTTAAATACAAGATAGACAATAGTTGTTAAGAAAAGTAGTAGTTTTTAACTTTTTCTTGGCAAGTAGTCCTTTCTATTTCTGGACTATTAAGAACCATGATAAACAAAACGTTGAAAACTGTCTTCCTCAGGTTGCAATTTAAACACACTACTCATTTCCTCTTCTCACCGTTTCCCAACCACCCACCCTCACTATCTTGGAAGAGAGTCTCTGGCATCAGCTACAGTGGCTCCTAACTCTGCTTTTGTCTTTTATTCTGGGCATCCCTAATGAGCACTAATCCTGATCAAAGGGATAGTGATTTGTGACTGACAGTGCGGTGGGAATGAGTGCTTAGTTAGCACACAGGAAACACTGAGTAAAAGGTCACTATTATCCTAATGCAGTCTATGGATTAAGATTTATGAACAAAATTAGAGAGCAGGAAAGTGGTCTATTAAGAAAAATTCATTCTAAGATACTTAAAATTTACTAGCTGGGAGTCTACATTCCCATTCTCCTATATTCTCTTCTATTCTTTCCCCTTTATACTTAGCAGCTTCTAACCTCCTAGTATCTTTATTCACTTCTTACATTCATTATTTATTTTCCTTCTCCTGCATCCATCCCTAAATTGAATGTAAGTGCCATGGGGGCACTGGATGTTTTTGGTAATTTCTGTTTTGTGAGGGATTGGAATTGGCCTCCCCAAGATGTGTCTCTTTGGCATGAAGATTGTTTTGAGCTGGTTACTTTTAAAAACTGCAGACATGAGAGAAACTCTGAAAAGTAGAAGTTACCCTTTGTAAGAGACTTTTGCATTTGTAAGGGAAATCTCCACCTGTAAAGGTGTCTCCTTTTCTGTACCAGGAAGAGGGAGATGACCTTATCTCTAAAAACTCTTATCAATGTGGAAGGCAAGGACTTAAATCTGCATAGTAACTTTACTCTTGTTTACTGTACTTTTCTTGTAATCTCCCATAACTGACTCCTCCCACCCCCAACATCTTCCTTTCTAGCTGAAGATGGTATTTAAGATGAGAACCTCCACCATTTTGGTGAGTTACTCAGTTTTCATGAGTCTCTCCTATGTATATGTGTTATAAAGCTTTTTTAAATTTTCTTCTGTTATTCTGTCTCATGTCAATTTAATTTGTAGTCTGACCAGAAGGACCTAGAGTGGGTAGAGGAAATGTCTTCCTCCCCTACATTTTGTACATTGATGTAATCCCTGTGCACAGAATAATGCCTTTCTTTTTTATGTTTGAAATATTTGTTGAATGACTAAGCAAATAAATAAATGAAGTCTAAGGCTTTTCCATGTCTAAAATTATTTTATTCTTTAAAATACATTGCAGAGTGATTTTAAGTAGAAGCTAAGAAGGTGTACAATGAAATCAAATACCCATGGTCACTGATATTTCTAGAGATACCTGTAAATTAGAAAGGATTTAAGAATGCATCTCTATTTCTCAGAAGAAAAAGCTGATTAACTAAAAGGAATCATCCACTGATCAAGCTTAGGTAGTATAAAACGAGGAAACAAAATCATCCAGACATTGAGGTTCAGATACTTTGGGGCAGAGAACACATTGTTATGTCACTCTTATCTGTGTGGCTGTCATCAGAGTGTTCTCCTTCAGCCGTTTGTGCTTGTCACAGTTTTCTCTCGTGGCACTACTGAATCCAAAGACTTTCTTAGTGTTTATGTTGTAATGCACGTTACCATGGAGGACAGTGGGAAACCTCTCCCTGGGGTCTGTCTAGAGAAAAGGATTTTGATATAGCAATTTTTGGAGGGTAAACTCATTAATCCTATTCTTCCCTCAGGACTGAGATTTAACAACTATCTGCTAAAGACAAGATATAACCAACCCTTATTTTGTCAATATTTTTCTTGTTTATGTAAAATTTCTCTTAAAATTTGAATGGTTTAGTCCCAAGGTGGTTATTTGATTTCTGGAGCTTTATAATCAGACATCAGTGTAGCCACCCCTGACACAGGAAGGGTTAATAATCACTGGAAAAGGCTTGCCAACAAACTGTGACTGAGAGGTGAGAAGGCCGGTCAGCCAATGACAGGTAAGACCTCCAGGGCAGGGCAACCTAAGAGAGGCCCAGTCGTCGTCTGGGGGCACAGATGGAGACATGATATCCATATCGGGAGCAGGAGGGGCGTTGCCTAGGAGACCTTGCATGCTCTGAGATGAAAATATATGAGCACAGCAATAACATGATAATATCAAAACAGAGGCCGAGGGAGCGCTTCTTGAGAAATCACTAAGAATTCTTGGCATTCGCTAATTACTTCATCCAGAACACCTGTGTATGTTTAACAGATGTAAGCTATGTATATATTGAAACGCTGGTTATAATAAACTCAGAGTGGCCATCAGCCCTCTCCGCATCTATCCTGATGTGTACATTGGATTGTGACACCGACAATCAGGAGCTCTGAGAGAATGTTTAAATCAACTTCAGAAAATGACTTTATTAATTAGGTAGCAAATTTTAAGACAAAATTCAGGAGATAAAGTTGGAACTTAAAATCATAAGACTTTCATTTATTGTATGAAATGTGAAAGGAGTCCAGCTCTATTAAAGTTAATTAGATGTCATTCTGGATCTATATGGGAAAATTCAAGATTTTCCAGGAAGGAATCAAATAATATGATTCACTTTAAAAGAGGTGATAGGTTTGTTGTTACACTTATAACGAAAACCAAAATCCTTAACAACCTCCGTCCTATGGCCTCAGCCTCCCTCTGCAGCTTCATCCTGCACCTTCATCCTTTGAGCGCTAAAGGACATCAACTTATACTGTCCCCTCTGCCTGGAGTGCTTTTTCCTTTTACTCTTAACCTGGTCAACTCCTACTCATATTCAGGATTTCAGCACATGTCCCCTTCATCAGCATCTCCTGATATGAAGGAATTCACTTTTGTAGCACTGCATGAGGATTGTGATTTACATTTAGATACATCACAATGTGATCAATATCTACTTTCCCACTGGAGTGTAAAGGACCTGAGGTCAGGGCAGGGTTTCCTTTACCATCTTCTCCCAAAACTATCCCTAGGCCAGGGTGTGTGGCTCGGGATCATGAGTTAATTGAGCTTGGTTGTTCTGGTATAAAATCAAGATTAGGGAAAGAGAGGTGACATTCTAACGTGCATCCCAGAAAATACTAAAACATATACCATTCAATTTTGTCACAGTCTTTTTACAAAGCATAATTGATTTTTCATAGCTAGCTTTGTAGGAACCAGGATATAAAGTCCCATCTAAAGCATTTTGAGTAGGACTCTATACAATGATTTTACCAGTATAACTGTGAAATTCTGCCAAATCAAACCCAGAATGTTCTTAGAGCATTGAGATTCTTGCCAAATAAGTTTTTTTAATTCAGCGTTTTTATTGGCTCTGGAAAAGAAAGGGGCATAGACTCCACCAATATATATCCACTTAGCTTAAGGAAAATACTTGTAAACAGCTAATAACAACACAGCAATGAGGGTTAAGAGCCCAGTGAACAGGTATAGGAGAGGCAGCTAAGGCAGATCCCCTGAAAGAATAGGGACAACTATCCTTATCCGTTCGAAGCCTATACTTAGCAGCCAGAATCACTTAGTTTGGTTTTGGCAAAAATTAATAGTCTTTCCCACACATTGTATGATTGCCTTCATATGAAAGTCTGAAATAGGGAAATCTATGAGACAGAGAGAAGACTT